GAGTTGTCAAAGCAATAATTTGTAGGGCTTCGTCTGTTTATTGTTGTGAGCCACTCTTGTATCATTTGTTACTTGAGTTGGACTGTTAGTTGAGTTGTAATTGTGAATCACTCATAAGCTATTAAGTAAGGGTGAATTTTGTTTGTTGAAGAGTGTTTTTTTCTTGATTGTCAATCACTCTTAAGCTTCTAAGTATAGAATGATTGTGTGTTTGTGAATTCTATTTTCTAATTCGTTTGAGTTGTGGTTTTGTCACTGTTGGTGATGATCAAGCAAGGAATCAAGGATCAAGATCAAATTTTGAAGAGTCTACTTCCATAATTCAATTTGAAGAGTCTACTTCATTTCATCTTCAAGGATCAAGATCAAATTTTGAGTGCAAGGTCATGTAACTTTAAAGAACATTATAGGTCATTTTGAAGATCCATACTTATAACTTTTCTAAGTGTCAAAGATCCATGTGTTTTTTTTTATTTCAATTGATCATAAATTTTAGCTCAGATCACCAAATGGAGTCTTTCTTGGCACATTGTGAAGATGGTGATATGATTTTTCAAAAGCTTCAAGAATTATCATATAAAGCCTCCTGAAAAGTGTGCACCATGAGTTCAAAGATGGTACCATGGAACTAAGTTTCTCACCAAAGTCAGATTATCATTTCCATAACGTGACTTCTAATCACCAAATTACCACGAGATTTTCATTTAAACATGATTAACAAAGATGTCTAAAGCATTTAGAGCATCAAAACGTATCATTTGGATGAGTTTTGATGCATATGAGATCATACTTCTCTCATGACCACGGGTGCACATGATTTCCATTAAAATTGATCCATCCACCCCTTCTCTTGATGGAATTTGATTCTCCTATAAATATAGACCATATTCCACTCATTTTGACAAGCTTGAATAGCCAAAAAAGCTCTTCCCGAACCTCACCAAACACCTCAAATTTTTGAAATTGTTTTCTCTTCCAGAGGATCTTTCATTCCTTTTTCTTATTTTGGTTAGCTCTATCGTACTCCTCTGAAGCTAACACGTTCATTACTGAAGCTTTAGGTGCTCTCAATCGTCCAGACCAAGTTCACCGTCTATGCAAATTTTTCCATACTTTGTTCAGGTTGATTACTCATTCATTTTGCCTCAAACAAATTCTTAATCTACTATCCTCATCTCTCTGAAGCTCACACTTCTTATAATTTTCATTTTCATTGAGAATTGATCATGTAATCTCAGAAGTTTGTGCTCGCTATTTTTTGTTTCTTTTGAAAATTAAACAATGCTCAGTTTATATAAATATTTCGCAATACCATGGTTGAGTTCGTCTCAGTGAGACGCTTAAAATGATACTTGTCTCGTGAACGTTTGGAACCATTTTTGGTTTTCTCCAGGGAAGATCATCGAAAGGGATGACCGGGGGAAGTTCACAGTGGCTCTGTGTTTGAAAAAAATATTTTCCCATGTGAACCAATCAGAGCGTGACAAATGAAATGTTCGGATTGGTCCCTAGATTTTGAGTTTTATGTGGCTTGGTGACAACACTATGAGCCTTTGATCTGGATCGTCTGATGCACATACTATGCATTCATGACTTGATCAAGCGATGTACATTATTTTTTGTTTTTTTTAATATTTATAACACTGATCCGGTGTGAAATTCAAAAGGGACCATATCATGCACAACGTGTCAGATTCTTTGGATCTGCTTACTAACACGGTTTGACAATAATCTAGTGGTCTACATTATTTTAGCTTTATTTTTATTTTCTGATTTTTTATATTTAATCATTTTAAACTTCAAAAATTCATAAAAAGTTCATTTCTGACTTGAAAATTATGAAAAAATTCACAAAAATATTTTTGAATATTATCTTTCTAATTCTTATTTTTTCATAATTTTATTTTATGATTTGGTATTTCTTATGATTTTCCCTTTACTTGACTTGTTTTAATTGTTTAAAAAAACTTTTTGATCTTTTAAAATTCTGAAAATTTTATAGAAAGATCCAATGGCCTTTTGACAAATATTGGTGACTTGATTTTATTTTTATTCTACCATTTTTTGCAAATTTTAGTTTATTTTTGCTTATTTCTTTATATTTTAAAAATAGTTTCTGACTTTTAAAAATTCTAAAAAAATTTGTCAACACTTGTTGACTCATGATTGACCTCTGATATTTTTATTTGGTGTTTTAATACACTTTGTGTATTTTACTAATTATTTCCTTTTTTATTAATCATTTAAATATTGTTTTTATTAATTATATTTTATTATTTTTGTGATTGCTTCTGATTTGGAGACACTTGAGTGTTACTTTGGGACAAGTTCCTTAACCTCATTGGATCTTGGGTGTTGATAGGTTGAAAAACCAAATTCACCGAAATAGATGAATGATGTTGATGATATTTAAAACCCTAATTTCATCTGAGGCATTGGTTACACTGATTTCCCTTTTTCCCTTTCATCTCATCCCTTTTCTTCTTTCCTCTTGATTGGTTATTAGTTCCTAATTCATCTGAAGCTTGGTATTCATCAGGGATTTAGTATTTTTGTTTGCTTGGTTTTATCCAAAGGTTGAGAGTTCTACATTGACTTCTTTATGTCAAGTGTTGACTTCTTATTGGTTAGACCGTTCTTTCCTTAACTTTTACTTTGTGTATATAGAATAGCATCTTCATCTCCTCCTATCTTCTTCAATTTCAATAGTCTTCTCTCTCCTTTTCAAAACTCTTCTTATTTCAAACTCGAACTGCTTTCATAATAAACTTGGAGTTAGGTCCATGAATTTTCAAAAATCTTTTCTTAATCAAACCTTTAATCAATCTAATCATACTTTGACATCTTTTTGAAAGACTAAAAGTCATTAACTTCATTCAAACCATTTTTTCACTTTAAAACTCTTTCTCAAAAGATTAGACTCTTGTTGATCTTGTAGTGATGCAAGTTACTATACTTCTACAATATGATGTGAAGTGAACCATTTTCTACTTGGGTGTTGAGTGATGTCTTGTTGATTTTAAAATCCAAGACTATGTCTTCCACTTTGAGATGACGCTAATGCTCCTTTCTCATAATTGTGGGTAGTAAGTATGCTTTTCACTCGGATACAATGAGATGTCACTTCTCTTAAAATTAACCAACACATATGTGTTTTAAAATTTTTGAGGTGAACTACAAGTACCTTGATCCCTTATTGCACGGAAGGTGGTACGTAGGCACTAAAGGCTCGCAATCGCGGCAGGTGCAAAAATTGTAAAAAAATACTTCTTTTCTCATCTCCACCATCTTGTTTTATTATACACCTTTTATAATAAAAATACACAGATTTTCAAAGAGGTTATTGCGGAGTACCGTAGATGTTTAGGGTGTTAATACATTCCCTTTGTATAACCAACCTCCGTACTTAGATTCTCTCCCTCTTACTTTTGGGTTTATTCGCTCTTTTCTCATTTTCTTTAGAAACAATAAAGTGCGGTGACGATTTTTATTTGATCTGTACGAGTTAAGTCAATCTGATAGCTTAGTCTCAACATTTCTACCGCTACAGGCCCCACATGTATATGGAGTAGAAGATAAAGTGTGTTGCATAAGCATTCATGTGTACATTGTGTAATGTCGTTTGATTCTGTGTAATGTTGTATAAATTGGCATAATGTTTATAAATTTGTGTAATATTGTATGAATTGGTGTAATGTCATATGATTATATGTTTTGAGTTTTGTTACCCTTTGCTTTTATTATAACATATATTTTGTAGAATGTATTTTCACTCCTCTATTATCATGTCTCGATTATATGAATTTATATGTAGAATTCTCATGTTGAAACTGAGGAATAGTAGCAATGCGGATTTTTATTGATGATGGTGTAGAAGACCACTTTATTATTTTATTTTTGTGTTTATATATGTCAAAATGTCAAGTCAGCTAGTACATATAATTGGTAATTGGTAATAAAACTCTTGTATTATGATATTAGGGTCGGCATTCATTTTTAAAAAAAATTATTATATTTGATTTTATGTTTAATTAAATACTCATATATGATCATATAATTAGAATGTTTGTGTTGTTGAATTAATGTAATGTTCTGTTTTATTATATGAAATAAATATTTTACAAAACATTCTTTATAAACAAAAAAAATTGAAGTGTAGGATTAATTTTATGATTGATTAATTAAAGAAATTAATCTCGTGTCAGATTCATCGCTCCTCCCACTTGTTTCACACGTGAACATGAATCTAAATAAATTATTAAAACATCCTTTTAAAATTTATTCTCGTCAAGACATGGAACTCGCATTGATTTTGTAGAAAAATAAATAAATATTAAAGTGAATATAAAAAATAATGTTATTAACTAAAATAAGGCTTACTTTATTGTCCAATTACTTTTTTGGCTGTTAGATATTGAAGGAATACGCGTGCCAAATGGCATACCACTCACCGCAATCCATGCAGAATCAAATATGCGGCTTATAAATTCTTTCCGTTACAAAATAAATATCGTTTAAAGTTTTTACATACAGAATATAATAACATTATCATAAAATATTATATTTTTATTAAATTAATCTTATTAATATGTTGAAAATAGTGTACGCACTGATAATTATAGAATACAATTGAAAGAATAACAAGCCTGATGAAGTTATTTTCCACATCTGCACACATAAAATATGTGATATATAGAACTGCAAAACATCAATCACTTCAAAATAAATAAACAACAATCACAAATGCAACTTATAGGTAATCACCATAAATTGGCAATGATGTTTCAAGCAACTTAATTAACACAAAAACAATAATGAGATAGAAAGTACTGAAGCATAAAGCCACTTATTGGGAAACTAAGTACAACCCACAATCAAAGGGTTGGCAAAAAGACTGAAAACAAATATGACACAAATACGAATAACCAATGTAAATAGACCCATACTGAAACAGATGGCAGAGAACGAATCAACTTGCAATGCAAATATGTAATAACCTCTTAGAAAGCTTCAAGAGTTCCCTCGCTGCGACTCTTTCGCATGAAGTTCCGTGAATTCAAGCTCAAAGCTTTGTCGAAAGAATCCAAATGATGGCGACTTTGGGATGATGGTTTTGTTCCGATTGGTGGGAGGTGGCCTTGCTTTCCTTTGGAATGTTTTGGTGAGGACCCGGTTGATGGCCTCCGAGTAGATGATGGCACCTTCCTTGTAGTTTTGCGATCCACTCTAAGACCGCGATCAAACTGTTGTGAGCTCATTCCTAGTCGAACTGCACGATCTGCACTGTCCTTCAAACCGTTCGCTTTGAAAGGCTGACGATTGTAGTAGACAAGATGAGGAAGAAGGCCTTGCAGGTATTTCTTAATTTGTTCATCTCCAACGTTTTTCTGGCAAGGGTTCCCTTCCAAGTTGATAGCTAGCAAAGAATTATAGTTGGCCGCAAGTTGTCCAAGACATTTGGCAGTTGAAATCTTGTTAAAGCGGAGATCCAAGATACTTATTTTCAACAAACGGTGCAAACCCTCGACTTCACCGATCTTGTTTCCAGCCAGGTACAGCTCCTTTAGAGAAGAACAGGATGCCAGACCTTTACAAATGAGGAAAAGATTAGCCGAAAGAAAGAAAGAAAACACATTGAAGAAATATCATAAATCAACAATTCAATGTCAACAGATAATGGTATAAAAAATTAAACCACACTGACTAAACTTGAGATGTAGTTTAAGAATTTCTTTTACCATGTCCAATTCTTAGTATGCGATTGTAGCTGAGGTCTAGGACACGAAGCCGCGTAAGTTCACGTAATCCCTCTATAGTGGAGATATTGTTTTTTGACAAGTTCAACGTGTGAAGTCCTCGAGGAAGAGCACCAGCAGTTATCTTTACTGAAAAAGAGAATTCAAAAGGGATAAGGTAAGTGATGTAAGTTAAAGAATGAGACAAGTCAAAAGTAATAAATAAATAAAGCATACTACTCACCGATCCCGTTTCCAGACAAATTGAGCACCTTCAAACTCACAAATGCACTCAAAAAGGGGATCACAACCAACCCATGATTTGCTAGCTGAGCTGCAGAGGCATTGGCAGTTAAAGAAGAAATATATCTTTTAGCTGCTTCCATTCCTGGAGAGGTCTTATGATCCACAACAGAAGGAGTCACGGCAATTGGGGGGTTAACATCAACTATGGGATCAACAGGTTCAGGCAATTCAGTTATATCCTCTAGAGGTGGTGCACATTGCTGCAGACCGATTACCCAATCCTCAATACGCTTAACCTTAAAATCCTCGTTAGGAAATTCACCTGGGGAATCTCCTTGAAGGGGCTCAACATCACTTATATCGTCTGTAATTGGCATTATCCGGTCCTTTGGTAAGCCAGAAAGGAGATGAGAATCAAAGCCGTCTTCAAAGTATCTGTCCATACGAAAATCTTCAGTTTTTTCCATACTACGTTCTTTTTCTTGAGTTTCCCCTATTTGATCATAAGACACGCTGATATACACATCTTTCTTCCTCAGGCCTAAAGCACAAAGATCGTCGGAAGATCTTGACATTGATGATGCATGTTTAAAAGTACGAATATTTCCAGATGAAAGCGTAGGAGCTTTGAAATTGGGTAAGGAACGCGACCTCCTTAAAGTAGGTGAACTGGGACCAGAAGTCAGTTCAGTGGAGCCGCCAGGAAGATCGCCAGATAATGGAGTATCAGAAATTTCATGAGCATCCATATCCGAATGTGTCGGATCTCCAATTGAAAAACCTGAGCCATCATTGTCACGACCAGGAATGACTTGAAACTCGCAGTTTGAATTCGTTTTGCATTGATCATTAGGGCTGCAACTTGAATTTGGGGAGTCATTGAGGCTTTTGGAAAACTCCAGACCTTGATCACCCTCAGTTATGACTTGGCAAAGCACACTTTCCGACTGACTTTTCCTAAGACGCCCAGTTTGGCGAACTTTTCCGTCAAATTCAATGCTAAACTTATTGAGATCCTCTAACTTACCAACATGCTCAATTGAATCCTGGTCGAGAATATCATGCTCGGAGACATTCATTAGCATACTCGATTGCTGTTTTGAAAGTGATGAACCTAAGTTCTTAGCGATAGACGGATCTTTCCTGACTGAAATTTTGGAACTATCTCGCAAAACTCTTGCCATTGTTTCAGTAGAAGGTTGAGTTATTTTCTGATTAAAAAAAAAAGCTTATTAAAATCAATAAATCATGCAATACAAACCAGGTTATACAAAGTCCAATCCAATGCATTTCTTCATACCTTTGCCTTGTTGTTGTGGAGACTAACATGAAAACAAGAAAATTTAAACATCGCTGCAACGGTGTTGAAAGCTATATCTAAACATAAAACTTCCTTTAAGGCAGAAAAACCACTGCCAACAATAATCTATACAGTTCATCAGTATTCCAGAAGCCTAATAAAAAAACCGAAAAAAATTTGAGAGGCCTTCTGGGGGACAAATCAAAAGCCGCCCTTAGCCATAATCAACGGATAAACCAACCGAAACACGACACAATCTCCATATATCTGATGCCTTTGTTCTACGTAAAACGTAAAGCCAAATCACTCCTCCTTCATCACCCCACACCCTCTTAGAGGTGCGAGAATTGTTCGAATCTGTTATAGCGGCCAGAGTGAAATAAATTCTTTTTCAACAAGGACAATCCAGAGACAGAAACAAATCTGCATAAAATTCGCAAACCTACAAAATAAAAGAGCATCAAATTATCAGTGGTTGATCTGATATATAACAAACACAATAACAGAATCAAACAACCAAAAATACACAGATAAAAATAAACTCCATCTTCACAAATTTAAGGTTTCTCTAGTTTTGATATTCTTGATATTCTGAAAATTCTATCAAACAACTCAATCTCACAAATTCAAAGAAAAATTAACCCACCCCACAAAAAAATCAAGAAAAAACAAATTAAACCTTAAATTTAATCATATGAGTTAATTTAAACAGAAAAACATTAACCAAAATTGCATCTAAGAATCCAACACCAACAACAACAAAACAAAGGAACTATGTTTTATTAAAAAATCCTAAGAATTTGAAAGATAAATAGAAAACAAAAGGTACAATAATAAAATAAAATACATAAAAATGAAAAGAAAATAGCATAATAATAATGAATAAAACTTACAGAAGAAATCGAAGAGAAAAAGAGAAGAAAGTTAATGGCACTGTTGTATCAAGGCGCAGCCTCTTGTTCCTTTCTCAACCCTGCAATGCTACGCAATATCAACAAACTATTTATTTCTTCAATTTTATATATATATAAAAACAAATAAACTATTAATTATTAATTAATAATAGCTTACGAATGAAGGGTGTTATTGAGTGCCACACACATATCTTTAATTTAACCCTAATCGGTTATACTAGGAGAAATGATTTGACCAATAAAAACGCATTTATAACAAATATCAGCCTAAAATTATGCGCCTTTTTAATTTTTGGAAATTTAAAACATGTGACTAAAACTAAAAGACTAAAATGACTAAAAGTCGTATTTAGAGTAAACAAATTTATATTTATATGTGACGAATGACATCTGATTTTAATATTAAAATTTTATTTAATGTTTTCTGATTTTATTTAAATTTGTTGAATTAAATTATTTTAAAATTAATATGACCACAACGGTTCTTTTGTTTTATATTTAAAAATAGTTTTTTTTTTATATTTGTAAAAATAATTTTTATGAATATTTTCTTTTTAAAATTGTTTTGGGACTGAGGCCCAATTCACCTCAAATCTAGTCTATTTGACTCAAGGTATAAAGTCAATTCACATAGAAAGCAAGTACATTCTTTGATCTTTATTTTTTATACACTCGTCTTGAATCTTAAACTAAATTGAGCGTTGGCATGATAATTTTACAGGTCCACCCGCGCTGCCGTATCAGATCAATACAGTTGGTTCAAGATTTTCAATTCACCGATTGCATCCAATTCTAGTTCCAGAAAGGAACAATGACGTCGTATATGGAAAACGACTTCTGATTCCTGTGTTCTCTACGATTTCACGTTCGCGCTTTGATTCGTCAGTTCGTAACCTTCACAATCATCAAATTAAGAGCAATCAGAATCGAAAGTGAAGGTTATCGTGTTCGATCCAATCGATCATCATTTTAACTTTGATCCATCGATTTTTCAGATCTCTAATTCCTGTGAAAACGCCATGAAGTGAGAAAAAAAACGAATGATCCTAAATCCAAATCCATATCTATATTAGAATTACCAAATAATGGAGGCAATTGTCCTCAAGATCATACTGAAGATTCCTTATTGACCTTCTGATCGTGCATTACCACAATTACCCATCGCTAATGCGATACTTACTGTGACGACTTAGAAGATATGACAAATTCATAGCTACTACTGGAGTAGAATCGTTATTGTAGCACCATCTCCGGGTAAGAAAGGAACTCCAAACGATGAAGTTCATATTACGACTAAACCTACTAAGTCGCAGCAAAGTGAAATGAACACCCAACGCAACATTATTTACGGTTGAAGCAATGAACAATATGGGTGATACACACCGCCGTGACCCGTGGTGTTGAGCATTCCGAATTTGCTACACCTTCTCCTCATCACTTAGATTCGAAGTGCAGTTGCTTTCAACCGCATGGTAAGATTCCTCTTCCACATTGTTGTTGAGCATTGTGTAAACAAATAAAAAAGTGTGGGCGCGAGTACGTCCACACAATGAGAACGTTAAGCAAACTAAAGTTACAAGTCGCACGATGATCACAACAGTTTCTGCCGATGTAGGAGTTTATACGAGATAACTCATATGCAACATCCTTTGAGCATCAATGCTCGATCCGGTGCAACCGAACTATTGGGTCTTTATGTACGGGCCTACAGGATAATAGAAAATCATGGAATACACACTTGGGAAATAGAGTTTCATCAAATACGATGGGCATTTATATTTAACTCTTTTCGCGTCATCACTGATCCTTAAGGAAATTATCATATGAAGGAAGAGGGGACTTTACCACCTTGCCTGACTGAAGGCATCACATCGAACAACTCGAAAGGACAATTTTATGGCTTTATAAAATTCGTGGTCGTCAACAAGCTACGTCCTCAACAAAGTTCGTCGTCTCGTGGTGCCCTTCGATTATGAAGACCCAAAAGATACATGTCCTTAACAAAATCGCCAGTCTCTAACACACAACACAATAAAGATGCAATGGCACCGACTCAGAGCTCCAGTGAACATCGACAATGCGTGTAACACTCTGATTTATTTTAATTAATTATTCATAATTGATTTGTGTATTGTTGTGTATTATTCGGTGTTTTAGTGTTTGGGAACCCTTCGTTTTAGGGTGATTACCTTTAGAATTAGAAATAGAGGTGTTAGGGGTGTCTGAATAAAAAGGTAGAAACACATGGGTGGTGAGAGAATGTTATTACTACTATTATTTTAAATTAGATTTAAATGGATTAAATAATAATAATAGTAATAATAGAATTAAATAATTATTTAATTTTTATTTTAGTGGTTTATTTAGTTGGAATAATAATAATAATAATAATAATAATAATAATAATAATAATAATATATTAAGGGAATTAGAGTCAGTGAGGTTAGAACTGACAGAACATGAGAAGATAAGAGGCAAAGGGCTAGGGCTTGAGGAAGAAGAGCAAAAACTCCATTGTAGAGGTCAAAAGTTTTGCTAGGAATACTAAGGTAAGTGGAGATTTCCATCTTCTAAGGCACTGTATAATAGTTTGTAGGTTGGGATTATGATTTCTATGTTTGGATTGTATCTGTTCCTAATTGTGAGTATGTCTTTTTATGTTTGAATCAATTTGATGAATGGTGATGTGATATTGTTGTGTTGAATGATGTGTTTGTTGGTGAATGATGTGATTTTGTATAATGATGGGATTGGACCTGAAAAATATGAATACTCATTGTTGAAATTCTGGTACAGCAGACTCAGATGTCCTACAAGGATGTTGAGACATCTGATCTGAAATAAACACACAGGCAAAATAAAATAGTACTGAAAAGATAAAGAACACACCAGAATTGTTTACCCAGTTTGGTGTACAACAACACCTACTCTGGGGGCTACCAAGCGAAAAATGAAGTCCACTATCAACAGTATCAATTTGCAGACCCTACAACCAACACACCCATTGACGCTCTACGCACTTAATCACTACCCAATAACCCTTCTACCTAGGTCCTCCCTAGATATGAAATATCCCTATTCCACTTCTAATCATCTACAATGATGTCTAGCAGTCAACACCTCAGTCACTGCATCAACGATCCTTCACCAAGATTTTGATCACACAGATAGACAGTTTGGAAGACACACTTTCATGACAACCTAGCTAAGTTTCCAAGCCAAACTCCACTATTTGTTAGCTTTGCTCCTAACTAATAATACATCCTAGATTTTCTTTAAAGCTTCATCCAAGAACAATACACCTCATACCTACAGACTTCGAGGTGAACATGGTAACCTTCCCACAACCCGAGAGGTTTACCTTGACAAAACCCTAGACTTCTACATCTTGAGTCGTCTCTTTTCTAGGTTATAAACCCTTCTTTTTATAACATGTTACCCAACTGGTTTTGGACCTTCAATCATAGCAAATCAGTTGTAACAAACTGCAGAAACTTCTGCCAAAGAAAGGTCTTCAATCTATACTTTTCTAAATAATCTCCTTATTTAGAAAGTCTTCATTCTCCTTGATTTCTGATTGAATTTTCTGAACCTTTAAATATGCTCCATATAGGATGCATAATATTCTCCTGAATATTCTACCAATATTGAGAACAAACTGAACCTCATTAATCCAGCTCGGCAGGCGCGATGTCAAGACATCTTCTTTGACATGTTGTTCCAGTTGTTGAAAAAGTTCAACACAACATGTTCTGACATTGTAATAGGACTTCTTATTGTACCTGTTCTTCTTATCATATTCTTCATTGTTTCTATTATTTGTTTTACAAAAAATCAAGCCAATCCTAAAACAAGAGAACTAACAATCTCCCCCTTTGGTAAATTTTGGCTAAAACAAATAATCTAAAAACAATTGCAATCTAGGAGATCACAACAATTCAGAAGCTATTGCACATAATAATAGATCTTCAGTTGAAAATAATGTCTCAACATCTTGTTAGATATCTTCTTTGCAGCACTCTGAAGAACTCAATTGCATCAGCACCAACTAACATCAGTTTCAGGATAAAAGGAAGGAAAGTCCTGAAGTTTGGTTGATGCACACAAGGAAGAAGATAGAAGAAGACAACTTGTACT